TTCCACACAGCTCTTCGGCATTGCCATTCGGACCCGACGCAGTGCTTATACACGGTAAAATCAACGTGTTTACGGTTACTTGGGGTTATTTGGACCGCGTTAAGCAGAAAGGAACCAAGCCACATCAGCTATTGCCAAATTTAACTGGGTAATTTAATTTTATGCGACGTTTGTGTAGATTCCTTTGAAAATTTTGAGGAATTTGCTTCGTACTATGGAGAAAATTCACTGAAATGTGCACGAAAATCCGCACAGCCGTTTTCATGTAAAAGATTTAAGTGCCCAATTAAATTTGACAATAGCTAGCTGATGAGGCTACGTGATTCTCCGCGATTCTACGTGAAAACGGCTGTGCAGGTTTGAGTGCAAATTTCAGTGAATTTTCTGCGTAGTGCGAAGCAAATTCTTGGAAATTTTCAAAGAAATTAGCACGAACGTCCTTTTGTGAAAAATTAAATTGCCTGGTTAAATTTCGCAATAGCTGATATGGCTTGGTTCCTTTCTGCGTAACGCGGTTCACTTTGTTACACTTGAGTTATATTTTTGTGCATGGTATCGCAGTCTGAGGACGAAAAGATATACGCCACGCTTGGTTCAAACGCCTTGATACAATTATTCGTACTTGATGGATGTCCATGTTGCATAGCCAAAAATTGAAGGCGCTGCCGCTTTCTTCAGCCCGAAAACGCAAAGATATACCGCGCCGCACCGTACATTTCGAACGCTTTGATACAACTATTCGAACTTGATGGATGTCCATGTTGCATAGTCAAAAATTGAAGGCGCTCGCGCTATCATCAAGTCGAAAACGCAAAGATGTGCCGCGCGGCACCGTGCATTTCGAACGCTTTGATACAACTATTCGAACTTGATGGATGTCCATGTTGCATGGTCAAAAATTGAAGGCGCTACAGGAACGTCTAGACATCAAATACATCCCAGAAAGGAAATAAAGAATGAATAATGAATTAAAAATATTTTCCTGAGGCTTTCATCATTTTCCCCGACATTTCCAGGTTTTCCCTAACTCGTCAAAATTCCCTGGCATTTCCCGGTTTTTCCTGACAGAGGCACTCCTGTGAACGGAATCAGACTCGGGGGCGGCCAGATAGACGAAGAGAAAAATAAAAGGTTTGTGGTGAGAAACGGCAACACACATGTTCTGGAAGCTCCTCCCGCGGCTGGCGCGGAGCACCACATTGTGGCCGCGAACCCGGCTAGCGAGAGTGGAAACGAAAGGGAGAGCTGCGGCAGGGGGCAGAAGCGACGTCTTCCCGCTAAAAAAATCATCGGCTCCGGGGCCCCAGGCGCGGCGCAGCCATGACTCGAGCACTGTCCAATGGGGCCCATGCGAACCCCGTCCATCCGCCGACCAAGTCGCAACCTACACCGATCTAAACCCCCGATTCGCCGATTTTGAGTCTCGAGTGACTAAAGCTCAGCATTTTCTGTCTCCTAATCACAGGTTATGAAAGGAGCTATATTCACATTTTTGAAAGGACTTGATGGACGATCGAATTCCGAAACCAATTCTCGTCCAAGTTTCAGGAATCATCGGTCCTAAATTCGTTGGTTCGCGTAATTTTCGGATGAAAACTTGGTAGGAATATTCCGTGCGGCAAGAAATGATCAAATTTTGATTCGATTTTCCGATTTTGATTAAAGAAAAATGTAGCATGGTGACCAACATTCATCAATGATCTACTTTGATGGCATTGAATTCGTGTATCGAGACCTTGACAATATTTTCTGTTGACTTCTCGGCATTTCGACAAGCTCCCGAAGTAATTTTTCTCAAACTTTCCCAGGTCTTCAAGAGTTTCTGTACAATTATCCGGTTTTTTGGATCAGGTATAAGAACCCCTAGAGAAAGCCAATGGGCATGTTTTAGTATGAAGGTAAGGCATAAAATTAATGGCATAAAATTAATTATCGTTAGAATCCTAAATTAGTTTTTACTCGATTACTTTGAGGTGTCCTCGATGACCAATATTCTTGAATTTTAACTGCCGAATTGTATTAATTCCTAAAACGTTTCCTGCTTTTTCAAAGGTGAAACTGGACACTACGATGATACTTGATGACGTTGGGCATTTTCATTCAAAAATTAAATTTCGACCCATGTCAAGTCCCATCTTCTTTATGAGCTGTTGGTCAAGCAGCGCCTGGGCTTCATTTATGTCCTGACGTCATTCATGGACAGCTCCTAAGGGATTTCTCAAAGGCAAAAAGGAGGCGATAAAAAGGACTGATGAATAATGAGGCTCCTACGCAAGAGTAGCTCGATGCGACCCAAGTCAACTGGAAGTGCTCAACCAGGTGTAAATCCTAAATCCAGTATGGAAACAATACTACCGCGCTAAAGGAATAACTCCACATGTACATTCGGGAGTTGCCAAATTTCGCCGGATAAAACATGAATTGTCGAGGAAAATTATTCATATTTTTCCTTTAAATGTTTACATATTTTGGACTAAATCGCGTACGAATTTGTCTGGAAGATGAGAAGAGAAGATTCATAAATTGTCCAGTAAATTCGTTTGAAATCGGAGGAAATGTGGCAACGGCTGAAGGCTCATACGGCGTTTTTCTTTAGCACGACCAGGCGTGGGCGGTAGCGCAGTGGCTTCGCGAAGATTACCCGCGACATTGCCTTTCTACGAACTTCACTTGCCGATTTCCTTTCACGGTGCGAGCTAAAATAATTTCCGCGCGAAAGAGGAAATCCGAGCCGGCAACGATGCTGCGCGAGAGATAATTATCCTCGCCTACAGACAAAAAGCTGGAATAATAATTATTATTTAGCGACGAGCAAAATACGAGCATGAAAGTGAAGAACTACCCGGAGGATTCGATGACTCATGATAGTTTGCGGCCACCTCCGTCCTAGAGCCGGTCATTAGGGGATTTTAGAAGGACGGCTTCCTCTGCAAAAGATGACCGAAAGCCGAGAGAATGTGTTCCAGCGATATGAAATGTCGTGAGAGACGATGCCACAAATGAAACGATGAAAGAGTTGCCATCAGGCGTTTATCGGTATCATTTACTGACCTCTGCTGGATACTTCGACTGATTCACCAAAATAATAACTATTTAGGAGATTCTGAAATTTTTAGCGACAGTAACATTGCGGTTGGAGATTTCTTGTCAATTGCTAGGTCCAACTTAAAAAAAAAAAAAAAAAAAAAAAAAAAAATTCAAGAACTAACGAAATAGCAAACTTGTAACATCTTAAACAATCCTGAAGAGGACCAAAAACCATCTCTGACAGAATAAAAATAATGCATCTGTTCTCAAATACAACTGTTTCCTTGTGCTTATTTGCTCCCACATTCGCCTCTCATTACTTGCTCTGCCGCCCTAAGGAAAGAAGCTAGATATAAGAGCCGTTCAGACGTTGCCGAATTTCTTTCGAAAAGTCACCGATTTTCGGGAAGAATCTGCAAATATGTTTCTTTTAATTATTCACAGAATTAAGTCCACGGTTTGGTCCGAAGGGTCTGAAAAACTCAAGGAAAAATATTCGTAATTTTCCTAGAAAATAAATATTTTCAGAGTGAAAATCTGGCAACATTAGAATATTCATATGGCGTTATTCCTCGGCACGGCAGTACGAATGAATGAACAGAGCGATTCTTTTGAGCTTTCGGAGATATGAGTTTTACCGACATAAACTTGTATTCCGCAGACGAGGAAAAAGTCACTCGTGGAATTATCCGTTTTTTTCAAACTGGTTCCGATGGTATTCCATGACATAATCTCTCCTCTTCCGGGACCAGAATATGAGTGAACAAATGGAGATTTTAGAGCGGTATAGTTAGGAATTACACGGGAAACCCGGAGAGCCGAACGCCGGAACTTCCACCTCACTGTCGGAAAAACCTACTCGCTGACGCCACTGTCCATATTCGCATGTCACCGCGTCAACCCTGACTTTTAAGTTACCTCCGCGTCCGATGTATTAAATGAACTTGACTTTTTCCAAAATGTGCGAACAGAAAAACAAGGTTCTCATCGCGAACGTACGCTGAAAAAAGAAGCTGCGGGCTATATAGATATACAGTATAGTTCCGGGTGCTGGAGCCGTAGCTTCGACTGCTCCGGGTGCTACGTCCGGAACTTTGGGCCTCTGAGCCCGGAGCGCGGACGGTAAGTCTATATAGCCCGTAAGTACGGTTTCCACGGCCGGAATTTATTTTCCATAGTAGCGACAGATGGTCAGGGATGATCCGGAATACTATCATTACATGGATCAAGGTTGGAAAATAGGAAAAATGCAGAATGCATCCTGGTGCATCTAAACTAGCGGATGCGTGCATTGATTATGATTTATGTGCATTGCAGCGAAATGTACTGAACTAGAACTGCCAGTAACCTTGCGCGCTACGACGGTGAGAAAATTCTTAGCGTGAACACGCGAACGTCCCGCCGCGCTGACCGGAAGAGGGAAGACCTCGAAAAATCACCACTTATTGTTGGAGATTCAAGTGCGTACGGTCTGGACTTCCTCGCGATAATTCAATATCGTGTGCTGTTAAAAGGAAAAACACTCCTATCTCGTAAATCCACGCGGGAGTTGGAAAACTCACTCCTGTTTACAAAACATCGGGCGATCGGGGCAACTGCACTATTTGAAAGCATCGGAAAACCTTGGCTAGAATTTGTTTTAAAAACGGATCGTTCATCACCGTCGCAGGTTAAGAGAGTAAAATAAACAGGAAACTGCCCCTAAATACGAGCGCGAGGTGAGGTTCCCTCGAACGATAACAAATTCGAAAAATCGAATCGTCCATGTATAATTCCAGGACACTTAACAACCCGCGGATGGATTCAAATACTGGAAAGGAGAGATAAGTCAGCTAACGTCTCAAAACGAACCGTTAAACGACCTTAACACTTGGCTGAAAAGGAGAAAGATGAAACCCAAGGAAATAAATCTGAACTAAGAACATTTTTCGTTCTTGGAAACCGAAAACTTAAAAAAAAACCCGGGATCTTACCGATTTTCCGGACACCATGATGGCGGCTGAAAATCACTCTCACACACACAAAACAAAATCCAAAGGGATGCGAAGGGGGATAACACTGGCCGGTAGGAAGCACTGGGTGGACACTCGGAGGGATCCGCGAAGGAGGGGGACCGGAGGATGGCCCAGAGCGCGGAGACGGTTGTCCAAAGACTGAGGGAAGCGCCGACACCGGAGCAGAACGAGCGGCAAGACGCCCGCCGCGGCAAGGTAACCGACGACCAACGGATTCGAACGAGATCCCCGCGGCTTTGCCGCTCCGCCCCGAAAAACCGCGCCACTTCCCGCACTCCGCGAGGGGGTACCCGCCAAATGTGGCAACCTCCATCCCCGGCACCATCTGACGTCACGCCACCGCGAGAGGGGTTGCGACTCGGGCCGCGGAGACCCGGCGCAACGAGTCTAGAGTCCCTTTATACTGAGAGTCAAGACAATTTGAATCCATTTCTGATTGGTTCCCGTATTTTAGGCCTCCACAGTGTCACAAACGGGAATAAAGATTACATTTTCACCAATTGCAAAGATTATAATGTGGAATTGACCAGGGAATCACGGGTTCGGCAAGGAACAAACGGAATGAGAGGAGGAAGGGAGAAAGGCATTTGAGAATGGGCCGATCAAAGATTACAAAAAACGTTCGATTTCTGTAATCTTTATTCCCGTAGACAATTCGGCTCATGGATGTCACAAACGGGAATAAAGATTACAGAAATTGAACGTTTTTCGTAATCTTTGATCGGCCCATTCTCAAATGCCTTTCTCCCTTCCTCCTCTCATTCCGTTTGTTCCTTGCCGAACCCGTAATTCCCTGGTCCATTCCAGATTATAATCTTTGCAATTGGTGAAAATGTAATCTTTATTCCCGTTTGAGACACTGTGAGGCCTAAAATACGGGAACCAATCAGAAATGGATTCAAATTGTCTTGACTCTCAGTATAAAGGGACTCTAGGCGCAACGAGTCCAGAAGGAGAAACTGCCAAGATTGGTGGCGCATGCTCCCGTGCTAAGGAAGAACGCCGTATGAACATTCGAGAGTTGCCGAATTTTTCTTGGATAGAACCTATATTTTTGGGGAAAGCTACGCACATTTTCCCTGGAGATTTTAATATATTTCAGATTAAATTGCGAACATAATTGTCTGAAAATTTTGCGGAAAAAAATTCACGAGCAGAGCCGGATTTACCTACTTGCCGCCCATGTGCCGCCAGTATTTTGCCGCCCCCTTCTCACTCGTCTTGAAACATCAATGAAAACCATCAACTGAACGTGCCAGCGGGGGAGGGGTGCATAAGACGCGTTTACTGGTGCTGAACACATTTTTTGGGAAAGCCCTGTCAACAATACTAGCAAAAGTTCACGGAACTTCGTGCGAAAGTTAAGTTTCGTAAACCTATCTCTGTGTGGACAAGGCCTTCCGTTCATAAGAAATGAACGAAAAAATTATGAAAGAACAAACATAAGGGTGGATTAATGATTTTAACTTCCGTCGCCGCGCCTCGCAGATCGCACTGTGTTGGACGCAATGCGTGAAGTATTCACGCAGTCTTGTAGGCGCTATGCGGCTCACGCTGATCGCACTGTGTTTGCCGCAATGCGTGAGGTATTCATGCATTCTTGTAGGCGCTATCCGTTTCACGCTGTCCGCTATGACCGTGTTTGATGCAATGCGTGAAGTATTCGTGCAGTCTTGTAGGCGCTAATATGTGTTACATGCCGATCGCCGCGCCGAGAGCTTCTCCTTTTCATCTCAAGTCCTCGTCATAATTTCTCTCTAGGTAAGTCGCGCCGTTCCAGGCCAAATTGCGTGTTTGGTTTCTCTCTTAACTCGACTAATTTAAGGTGCTGTCTCTTTTATTACTGAAAGACGACAAAAGTAGAAATTACTATACTCTTAGAAAATTAGAGATTTTGTCGCCTTTTCTCGTTGGTATTTTTTTTTCTAAATCCGAATTTTTTTTTTATACCTTCATTTAAAAAAATTGCAAAATTTGCCGCCCCCTAAAGATTTGCCGCCATGGGCCGCGGCCCATGTGGCCACCCCCTTAATCCGCCCTTAACGAGTTTCCCACCAAATTTGATTTTTATCGGAGGAAATATGGCAACATCTGAAGGCTCATACGGTGTTTTTCTAGCACGGCTGCATGGTTGAGTAAGTCGGAAAGAGTCCTCGTAAGCGTCGAGCCTGCAAAAATGTAGGCATCCTCTTCTCCTGCAGAGATCTGGCGGAAGGCACTTCAACATCGCTAGCAATTTATTTTTGGGGAGAAATAGTGGGGGGAAAAAAAAAAAGGGAATGTTGGCAACCAGTGTTCTAAACCCACAGGCGCCAAAAAAGTAAAGGTTCTGCGCCAACGTGGCCCCTAAAATTTGCCCCCCAAAAAATCCTAAACTTTCTGAGAGGCGTTTTTCGAAATTCCAACGCACAGCACTGGATTGAACTCGCAAAGGGAGAGAAGATGCGTGATTCTGTTAGAATTGAAGAAACTCAGAACTTTCAGATTACTAGTAAAAGCTTTTTCTTTCATATCCAATTTCATTCATAGTGCTTTCAAAGTGAGAAGCTGCGGAATATCTCGTAAAAAGAGGTAAGACCACCGCTCCCTGCCACGCGTCATGGGTATGGTGAATTATTCCTGCTTTTCTCGATCAAAAGTGACATCTGAGAGTGATACCACTATTCGACCACGTGGGAGCTCGGGTTGCCTACATTGAAAACTGAAGGAAAACTGACGGCGAGGTAGTCACCGCTCCGCAAGCCACGCTCGGTGAATTATTCCTACTTTCTTTCTCGAGCAATCGTGACACTTACGGATGATACCACCATTCGGCCACGTGGGAGCTCGAGTTGCCTACGTTGAAAACTGAAGGCAAACTGACGGTGAGCTGAAGTCAGATTTACGACGTTTCCCGAGATTTTCCCTGATGTTAAACGAATCCTTTGAAGAGTCTCGATTTTTTAGGTTTGGTATTTCTTGTATGTTTCGACAAAGTTTACGTCAGACAGTTGAAATTCGTTTTTTGGAATGTTCAGGTGTGTTTCGCGCCAAACGATGCGGAACTAGCCCGTTAGAGCTGTTGCACAATTATTTTTATCATTTTTTCCTCATTTATTCACATTTTTGGAGCCTTACGGCTCATTTTGCCTTGCTCCGTCATTCGTCAGGGTCCCAGGGTAATACATCGATGGCTTCAGAACGAAAACGCGTATTTCCGTGTGCGACATCACAGATTTTCTGTCATACTTCGCATATTTTCTTCGAAAAACTAGGGAAGCTTGAAAACTTCCATGATTTTTTTGTTTCGTTAAGCTAAGAATTTCCCACTTAGTGTGCAGACCTTCATCCTGTACTGTCGTGCTAAGATAGAACGCCGTATGAGCCATGAAGCGCTGCCAAATTTCCCTCAACAAATCTCGAATTTTCAGGAAAAGTTTTGACAGTCTTTCTTCGAATTTTTTTAGAAGGTTTTTCGAAGGATTTCGTTGATGATTTGATCTAGAAAGTCTAAAAATTTCAAGTAAATATGTTCATAAATTTCCTCGAAAATAAATATTTTCTGAGAGGAAACTTGGCAACATTCGAATGCTTATACGGCGTTTTTCCTTGGCACGGCAGTGTAGGGCAAGTATCGGAAAATTTGGAGGAGATGCAACAACGACGGGCGAGAAGGGATTGGCTGAGAACTGCGAAAGCGAAGAGAAGTGATACTATAACGGACTGGACGTCCACGGTAAAACTTGGATTCCACTTCCAGTGTTTGCTTTGCATAACTGAGACGTGAATCACGGAGCTCGGCCGACCGGAGTATCAGCCCGGGACTTGAATACGCGTCTCTCGCCGTCTCATCACCGGGCTGGAATGTTGCGAACATCGGAACGATGATGTTGCATCAACCTGTTGAGTGTTGATACTGATCAAGTGGTGAAATAAGCACATGACGACGACAAATGATAAACACTGCACTCTGACATCGACTGCACAGTGCACTGCCCATCCTCACAGCTACCTAGCCTTGATTCATTCAAAATGCTTGCCCACCCGCCAACGCCAAAAACAGGGTTGCCACAAAATTTAGAAAATGAGATTCCCTGACATATTTGAGTGGAATTCCCTGAACATTGAAGATATGCCAAACGGCCGAAAAGACAAAATTTGAAATAGTTTCCAGGAAAAATTCGTTGTTCTAGACGTTAAATCCATTCTAGAAAGGAAGCGAACAAAGGTAAACTAACAATTTTCCCCCCACACTTTCGACATTTTCCCTGACATTTCCAGGTTTTCCCTGACATTCCCCGGTTTTTCCGATAATGTTTTCCCGGTATTCCCTGACTGAGGCAACCCTGTAAAGACCATTCCGTCGTTTATCCACTTTCAGAATCGGAGGATCGAAAGAATTTCTAGAGAAAAAAAAAAACCAGTTCGGTCACATGGACGAAACTTTAGGGTGAGTACGGAGGCACATAAAGCTTTGGAGTTACGTGGGGGGAACTGGGTGCAGACAGGACTCCATTTTGCGGTAAGGAACCACAATTTCTGGCTAAGGTTAGAAACAACGTATGCACCATCAGTTTCCGCGTGCGCATACGTGTTTTGACGGATGAGACAGACATTGTAGTTCCTAATTGCAAAATGTGGTCGAATTGTTCTAGGCCTCCGCAATTTTCTCCGACGCGCTGGATCTCCGCAAAAAAGTCAACACAACGCCCTGATCAAAATTTTTGTTAAAATTTTTGGATAATTGTAGGCTATGTTCCAAAGTCGCAATATATCCCAAATGAGTTGAAAACATGAAAACCTCTAGCGGCAATTAAATCTCTCAGCTCTGCCTCCATAATTTGCAGGGCACTTTCAGAATTAGGTCACGATCGCGCAGGTTGCACCCCTTCCGAATTTTGATGGTGAATTCAAGGAGTACGATAAACGTTGATCCAGCCATTTACGTTTAAGGGGGGAAAAAAATAGATCATTCAAGTTAAAATTTGATCAACGCAATCTTTAGACAAAGTGGCGATATGTGGGACACGTTAACTATCTTTTTCCGAAATTGCTTGGATAAACTGAAACGTCGGACGGTACTTTCCTTCCTATGATCGCTGATGATATCATGATTTAGTCGATTCACACAACCACACTAATTGCGGTATACGAGTTAGCGTAG